GGGGAGGAAACACAGGACCTGCCGGGCGCGTTAGCCGCGTGGAGAAAGGCAGAAGAGGGGCCGGGGGCCGGGAGCTGAACCCAGACACGTTCCCCTGGGCAATAAGGCCCAAATTTCGAACAGGGAGGGCGATTAGCCAGTGGAGCAAACTCCCCATGGCCACCAGAGCCAGCCAGGGGATCCAGTGACGGGCCCAGTGATGCCGTATACAGTTGACTCCCACGTACTGGTGAAGGTGCCAAGGAAACTGAATCCCAGCGACCTAGAGTTCCAGTTCCTGGCGTGGGCCCCCACGGTGCTCCAGCCTCTGCCCTCGTAGACTCTGCCGTCCTCGCCGATCAGGAAGCTGCAGGCAGAGCGCAGTGTGAGACCCGCACAGGCACGTCGGCCTCCCCCTCCCCTCCCCATCGCTCCCGGCAGCTCCCCCAGGGTCGTCGCTGGCCCTGCCCGGGTCCCACCGGGACACAGCTGGGGGGCGCGCGAGGGCTGTAGCCAACCCAGATCTGGGGCAGCAGAACATCGCAGGGACCTGGCGCCACACAGGAAATTCCCAGTTGGGTTTCCATCCCCTGACGTCATAATCTGAAAACATTTCAGGGAGCAAAATCCCTGGCCAGGTTTTCGTTGCGGGGCGTCAGGCCGGCCCCAGGGAAAGGCGTCGATAACGCCGGCACGGGGCGGTGTCACAGACAAGCAGGGCGCAGGCCGTGCAGCGTCTGTCGGCCGAGCTCATGGCACAACCCAGGGGCTCCCTGCGGCCCTCCATCCCCCACCAGCTCCGTGACTGCCCCTTCCCATCCCCCGCTCTTCAGGGACTCCCTCAGCCCCCCCAATCTCCCCCTGCCAGGGGCTCTATGCCCCCGAAATCCCCCTCCCCCACAGCAGAGACTCTGGGTGCACCCCAACCCAATTCCCTCTTTTCAGCCAAAAAATATTAAATATAAAAATCAAATCTCTTCTGTGGACAATTCCCCTCTACCCCTGAGTGTGGTCTCTGCTGCCCCCATGTGGCTGCTTGGGGGCAGTGGCCCCGAGTCCACCCATAGCTCTGGGGAGGCCCCCTCCCCACCCTGCCCCCACTCACTTGTAGCCGATGTCGGACCAGCCGTTTGAACCCATGTGGTAGTTCTGGATGCCCCGGACCTGCTGGCTACAGGAGGCCTGTGTGTAGCAGCGGTTTCCTGCCGTGTGGTGGATGATGACAAAGGGCACCGGGGTTTTCAGCGGGACCCTGCTTCTCGGGGTCCGGGCCCTCCACTGGGAGCGAGAGACAATGGTGGGGCAGCCTGTGCCATGCGGGGGAGGGGAGAAAGGGCTGGGTTAATGTGGGTGCCCCCCACCTGCCCCAGCCCACACAGCAGGATTGGCCCAGGGCTGGTGCTCTGAGTGGGGCCGTGGCAATAGGGTGGGGGGAGCAGCCCAGCAAAGGCCGTGCACGGCGCAGGGGGGACGCGCAGCCCTGCATTGAATGAGACGGGGCTGGGGAGAGGCCTGGCCGGGAGCCTGCTCGCCGTGAAGCAGCACCCGCCGCTGGCAGCAAAGGGGCGAATGGGGAGCCAGGCCAGGCTGGAGGGAGGCCAAGCAAGGGCTGGGCTGGAGATGGCAGGTGGGGCTGGGTAACTCCATCGTTAATTTCCCACTCCTGGATTTCCGCCCCCCCCCCTCCACTTCTCAGCTGCATCAGGGATCCGAACTCACCGAGCACCACGGCGCAGAGCGCTGAGAGCAACACGACCCGCATCAGCAGCAGCATCTTCCTCTCGCTCAGTCCTGTGGGGACACGCGCCCGTCACAGCCGCCTGCCACCCCCAGGAGGGGGCACTACTGGGCCGGAGCCAAACACCCCTAGAGCCCCTGGGTAGCAGAAACCCCTGCGCTCAGGCTGCCCCGGGCTCCAAGCCCGGCCTGTTGCCTGAGGGCAGCATCCCAGCCCTGCCCAGATCCCCCTCCCCCCCGAGCTCTCCTGGTCCCCATGGCAGCCCCTTGAGCAGCAGGCTCGGCGCTGGCCCCAGATGTACTAACAACACCTGCCCAGCTGGGGCTGTGGGGAGAAGAGCCGTGCTGGGGGCAGAGCTGGTCCATGGAGACCAGTGCCCCGTGGGGTGCAGAGCGGGGCTGGCATGTGCCCACCTGGATTCCTGCAGAGCTGGGAGGAGAGTGAGCTCCGGGCACCGGCACCTGTTGCTCTCTATAAGCGCCTGGCAGGGCTATGGGGGGGAGGCCAGGTAGTTGCTCAATAAACTATTGTGCCGATGCTGTTTGGGAGCCCAGCCACTGAGGAGGAAGGAGTGGGGGGAGGGGGAGGATTTCACTGGGGGCTGCAGTTGCTTAAGACCAAGCCGGGCTCGTGCAGCAGGGCTCAGAGGTCTGTAGCAGCACCAGGGCCGACAGACTGCGTCCGAGTGGGAGGGAGCGATTCTGGCCTGGCAGCGCGATCCCAGGGGCAGAACCTTCATCCCAATGTGGGCAAGGCTGGGCACAGAGCACAACCTGGCCTGGAAAGCTGGGGAACGCTGCACCGGGGGGACAGCACGTCAGCCACCGTCCGTGCCACAATTTTCTGCTGTGACCGATCCAGACACGCCGCCTGCCCCACTTCCCCTGAACTCCAGCTGCAGGGCACTAAGGCAGCGCCTGAAGGTGCCAACCTAGATCAGCCCAGAGCATCTGTTCTTGGAGCTCCAGTGTTATCAACACTAACAGCAGACAAGGCTGCATGTGAATTTATAAGACCTCAGTGCTACTTTTAAAGAAAGACCACAGCACGGTCTGGTGACAAAGGCCCTCGGCCAGGTTCATTGCCCTGAAGGCGCAGTCCTAGTGCCCTGGCTCCGTGGTTACAGGTTCACTAACATGAGTGCCCCGTGGCAAGGAGCAGCTCAGTCAGCAACAGGAGTCGCCGCTGTCTCCTAGGCCACACACAGGCTGACAGTGAGGTACCCGAGAGTAATAGACTGAGACAAGCAGCTTCCATCCCACCTTCCGTGTGTCACCACATTCACCTGTCACCTCCCCTGGGTCCTGAGATCTTGGACAAAACACCCCCTGTTTATTTTGTCCAACCATTTTATTTTGCAGTAAATTGAATGTATTTGTACCACCTACGCTATATTTACGTTAATATCTAGTGTGTGGGACACTAGCGACAACTTTGCCACGTACCTGTACCGGACAGTAAACTTGTCAGCATTTGCTTTAACCCATGGCCTGACTTTGGTTCACAGCCTCTGGTTCAAGCCTCAAATCTTGCCCCAGGCCCAGTGCTCCAGGCTCTCTGTGCTACCCCGGTCGCTGCAGACACACAGTGCCCGAGATCGGGGCCGGGGAAGGGATCTGCGCCCACAGCTCCCACCTAGTGGTCTGGCGACGTCGTGACAGGCCCTCTCTGTCCTGGTGCCCCCTGTTGGTAGCCGCTCCCACCCTGTGCTGTCTGTCCCCTCCTGTAACTAACTCTCCGGCTGGGTCACAGGCTGTGTCCACCCCCACTGGAGTACATAAATGGTCCAACAAATATGTGTTCCCCTGTCCGGCAATAGGCTTCAGGTATTGCCTGGCCAAACCCCAGAGTCAGGACTCTCTGGGATGTGGGTCTCCCTAGTCCTGAGTCGTTGCGTCAGGGACAGGCCATGGGCTCCAGCAGGACCCAAGGCGGGCAACTGAGATCTGCCCCTGGAGTACTCTGTGCCACCCTCTCCCACCCCCGGGTTGCTTCCCGCCAGCCTTACCAAGCCAGAGGGAAAAGCAGAGATTTGAAGAAACCCGAGGAGATGTCTCCGACCTTGCAAATGTCCAGAGTCCTTCCCCCTCAGCCGCTCAGGTAGAGCATCAGCTGGGCCTGCCACCGGCTCCTTCTGCAGATACCAGCTCTGCTCACCTCCACTGGTGCCTTTCAAGGGAGCTGCTCTCTGCTCCCTGCCAAGCTCCTCCTCCGGCCGGGCAGTGCCCTGAAGGTGTGGCACACAGCTGCCAGGTAGGCTTGTCAACATTGTATTTCACAAATAACAGACTGTTTTCTTAGCACCCCCACCCCACCCCACCTCCTGATATTAATATCGTTGTCATCATTGTGATGCTGTAGGGAATAGGTGAAACACTTTATGATATGATTGATACCATAATTATTATAGAATTGCAATGAATCTTCTCAGATATGCCGTCTAAGCTATCAGTGGGAAAGTTATCATTCCCTAAATATGATCACCACCTGTATATGTCTGTGTCATCTTTGTTTTGTGAATTATAAATATGTATGGTCTGTTTGTCTCTCACACTTGGGCTGTGGTTCTGGGTGAGACCCCAGACACAATGGCATCAGAACCAAGCTCCTTGATGGCCCATCACGGGACATCAGCTGTACAATGAACCCGTCGAAAGAAGCCTGGAGGGGCTACATCTCATGAGTCAGCAAGACATGTAGGGACGAGCCTATGGACAGGGAGGTATAAGGCTTTTCCATGCCACGTGCTGGGCAGCTTGTGTTTGGGACACAGGAAGGACGAGCCACATGGAGCTGCGTCATCTCCATTTTGTCTCCAATCCTGCTTCTGGACTCGCTCCTTTGCAAACTGAAGCGCTGAACAAGGACTGAATGACCCACCCAAGCTGTGGATTGGTTCCAGAGGGACTTTCAAGCCGGCAAACTCACCAATACTGCTAAGAATCTGATATAGGGACTTTGAAGTCTTATGTATGTATCTGATTGCTTTGACCATTGAACAACTCTCTTCTTGTTCTTTCTTTTCTTTTATAATGAACCTTTAGTTTTAGACACTAAAGCGTTGGCTGGCAGCGTGGGATTTTGGGTAAGATCCTAACTAATATTGACCTGCTAACGTGGCTGGCCCTTTGGGGATCAGAAGAACATTTTGTATAGTGAGCAGAGTTCTAAATAACTTCTCACTCTACTGGACGCAGGTGCTGACTGGGAGTCAGAGTACTGGGATGCATAAAGAGACTCTCAGCCTGGCTGCTATGGAGGAGATGGGGAAGCTCCAGGGCACAGAGAAATGGGGCATGGGTGGGTGAAGGAGCATAGCATCGCTAGTCCTTGCCAGGGCACTAATGATCCATCTGGAGACAGCCTTGAACTCCCCAGCCTGGGGGTGAACAGGGAAGGAAGAAGTGAGGCCCTGGAGGGAGGTGGTGGGCGTCTCCCAGCAGTTCGGCGACCCCAGCCTGCCCATGGGTGCTGGCAACACCCCCAGCCAGAGCTAACCACAGCAGGGTTAATGGTCCACCGGCAGCCGAGGAGCGTGAGCCGGGCTGGAGCAGCCTCGCCCTGCGGAGGGTGATGGGAGAGGAGCAGCTGTTTGCCTCCAGCGAGCACCGGCTCCGCGGGCTCCCCCTCCATCGCCCCGCGGGGCCATCGCTCGGGCACACAAGCTGGGGACAGGGGAGGAGGATGGCCAGTCCCCGGGAGCTGGGCACAGGAGCTAACTGGGTAGGGAAACAGCCCCTTTGGCAAACATGCCCCAGGATGGGAGTCCCTGAGGAGCCCCCAAAGCCCCCCACGCTTGTGGAGCCACTTCCACCTCCCGGTCAGGGACAGGCCAGGGCCTTGGCTCAGGAGTGTTGGGTAGAAACCCAGCCAGCGCCCGGGGTTCATTTTGGGGCGGGCGTTTTGTTTCTGGAAGCCCAGTTAGCCGACATGTTTTTTTGCGTACGAGGTGGCCATTCATCTAAGCAAACCCAGCCAGCTCCCATGATTCTTTGGCGTGAGCAGTGGCCAGTTGATCTGAATAAATCCAGTCTGCACCCATATCTCTTGGCTCAAAAAATGGCCATTTTCCTTTCAGAAACCCAGTCACCTCCCCTGATTCCTTGGCTCGTGAGGCAGCCATTGTGTGTTAAGGCGCCCAGTCGGCGCCTGTACTTCTTAGCTTGTGAAGTGGCCATTTTGTTTTCAAACCTCAGACATTTCCCATGAGTCCTTGGCTTGTACAGCAGCCATCTTGTCCTTCCCCTGCTGCCCTGCTAGGATCACATAGGTGATTGTTTCGTTACCGACGCCGCTGTATGACGATGGGGGGCAGGGCCTGGTTTCGGGGGACACTAGAACAGGCGTGAGGAACATAGGACAGGCCTGAGGCACATTGGTAGAAAGTGGTGGGCATGTGGGGGTGACCCAGGCTGTGCCCCCCATACAGGAGCCTGGGCTGCAAGAGGCCGTGATATGGGGATCTTGGTTGAGCCCTAAATTCACCGGGGCCACAATAGGGGCTGCACCTTCCCCCAGGAGCAGCGCCAGCCCCGAGCCTCCAGCCCTGCCGTGGGATGGCCCCCTTTGCCGCAGGGAGCTCCCCGCCTGCTATCAACCCTTTTATATCAGCAGCTGCTGTTTGCTCAGGGGGCAGATCCCCGGCTTCCATTAGCTCCCGGGAGCCGGAGCCGGCCACCGCCACAGTGAAACCGGCCGGGCAGGGCCCACCGATGGGTGTAGGCTGCAGGGTCCCGGTGCCCAGCAGCCGAGCAATGATCTGGGGGCCACTGGCTCGGGCTGCGACCCATCTCCCCAGGCCCCTGCTGGAGATCTGGGGGGAGCCCAGCACACGGAGAGCTTTGCCGGGGGCGGCGTAGGAGCCCTTCCCTCCCCCGAGGAGGCTGCATCCTGCTGTGCCCGTCGCATCCCTCCCCGCACCCCCACAAGCCCAGCCCCTCCCTCAACACCTCGGAGACATTTACAAGCTGTTTGCCGAGGGCTTTTATAGGTGGTCATTATGCTGTAAAGGGCCAGGGCGCTGCAGACAGGAGCTA